ATCATACAACTCACCAATATCAGCAAGAGCATTTCTTGCCAATCTAAGCATATGGCATGCATCTAAAATAGCATAAAAAGGCCTGTTAAAAGATATATTGTAAATCGTGGAGTAAAACTGATCTATTGTCACTCCTAATTTACAACCCAATCATTGTAAGCAACCCATATTTACTGGACTTCCATCACATGTCAAAGTGTGAACTCTAATGTTACTTAATTCACACTTTTGCAAGCAAGTCTGAACCAATGCTTTTAAATTATGCCCTGTCAACCTATGAACAAGTACATAACCAACTGGATATTTCCAATAACTGCAAACCAACAAGCAAAAATACAAGGGTTTTTTTTTTTTTTTTTCAAATGCAGTTGCGATTTTATCATCAGATTCCACACTTATTCCTCCATAATCTACAAACCCAATAAATTTGCCAGATTGTTCATTATAGATTGTATGTGCTTTAATACGCATAGAATCCATTATTAAAGCTGCATCTCGATACATTACATCATTTTCAGCATGCACTTTCAACTCATCAAACACAGCATTATTAAAACCAGGGTCAAAACTCGCAGATGATGTCCAATTGGACAATAAACTTGGTGCAGGCAACTTAAAAACTGCGCGCAAATATTCATAAGCACGAGTTGAATAAAACTGAACAGTTAAAGCGAACTTTTTAACTTCTTCTGAATATCGTCTGCCTGTTGGATCTCTTTTTAAATTTTTAATTTCATTTGTAAACATATTAGCTGTAAGTCCTGAAAAACTTTTATTTAAAAAATTTGCTGCGTATTTACTAATCCATTTTTTGTCTTTAAAAGATTTAATAACCTGAGATAAATTATTAATCTTCCTTGATTTGCGACGCAATTTTTGCGACGCAATTTTAAGCTGTTTCTTATGTTCTGGTTCATGTATATTATTGTCACCTGATGAGCAAGCATTACTTGTGGTACTGGTCTGAAATATTTCTTGCACAATTCTTTTTTTTGGTAACTTACGATGTTTCTTTTCATGAAGTAAATGCTTTGGAAAATTGAAAACAGAGGGTATGGCATTGGGACGCAATTTCTTTATTTCATATCCAGGGCACACTAGAAAATCTTCTGTAAGAAAATGTTCACTACAGACATAATGATGTTTTTTAGGAATAAACTTATATCGTTTCAGTGCAACTAGCCACAACTTGCTTCTATTATCATCTTTTAATGAAAACCTAAAAATAATATGAAGTATGTAAACATTCAGTTTAACAATAGCTAAAAAACAACTGTGTAGTACATTGTAGTGTAGTACAATTGTAGTGTAGTACATTGTAGTGTAGTACAACTGTGTAGTACATTGTAATTATACCTCACTTCTATAGCAATTATACCTCACTTGTATTAAACCTGTTATAGAACATACATGAATAATTATTGTTCTATTATACAATTTATTAAGCTTTATAACAGTTTTCTATACAAGTGAGGTATAATTGCTGGTGCCAACTTTTTTTGTTAAATATAACTATTATTATAATAGTAATACACTAATAAAAAACCAATATAAAATAATACATAATATAAAACCAATAATACACAATTAAAAATTTGCCTAAAATAACTTATACAACTAATGACAGTAATACACTTTAAGTATAAGTGTATTATTAGTATAGTAAGTACAAGTGTTTTAACATACCTGTGAAACGACACGCCTTGTTTTAGTTTTTGCCGATTTGTGCAACCATATGCACAGCATGAAATAACCATATCTCTGCAATTTTTCAACAAGTAATAGTGGTTCTTAGAAATTAAACTGTTAAAACCTTTCTAAAAACTTAGGTTCAGTTAATATGAAGATTATATCCCTGTTGCTCTTTCAGAATTCAAGTTTTTTGCCGTACTGTAAGATGGCGGACGTCGGCTTCACTTTTTAATTAAATTCATGCATCTAGTTATATTATACGTCATTGGTGTAGACAAAATTAAGTAGATGTTGACAATTATCAAAAACACTAACAAGGCAATATAATATGGAAACAATATATTGGGGGAAAATGTTAAAATAAGCATGAAAAAAAGAATAAACAAAAAGAAATGCACAAACAAAATGTTAAAACAAGCACAAAGAAAAGAATAAATAAAAACAAATGTACAAATAATAAGTTCAAATGGTAAAAAATGGTAGTTATGTAAATATATAATACATAACGAAAATTGAAAGATTAAATTATATAACATAGATATATCAATATTTAAATAATAGAATAAAGAAAAATATTATTGCCTCACTACAAACACTCAAAACTTTAACATCACCCAAATTTGTAAAACACTAATATTTTTGAAGATATGTGTATATATATATATATATATATATATATATATATATATATATATATATATATATATATATACATATATATATATATATATTCGAGGATATCTAATCCTTAAATGTTTTAAAAGTTGTGATCCACGTGTTATCGTTAAAGCCTACACTACTTATATAAGACCGATCTTAGAATATTGCTCTCCGGTTTGGTCGCCAAATCGCACTAAAATGAACAATACAGTGGAAAGAGTACAAAGACGTGTTACCAAGAGAATTTCTAACCTAAATAATGTTTCATATTCAAGTAGACTTAGTATTCTTGGTTTGGAACTACTAGAAATTCGTCGCCTTAAGCAAGACATGATTACATGTTACAAAATTCTGAACAACTTAGTTTGCCTAAATAAATCAAGTTTCTTTTTATTTAACAACTATATTTACACTCGAGGACATAATTTTAAATTACGCAAACTAAAATGTAAACTCGATGTCCGTAAACACTCTTTCTCACTCAGGGTTGTTAATATTTGGAATAACTTGCCGTCTGACGTCGTGAATGCCAAAAATATAAAGAGCTTCAAAATTAAAATTAACTCTATCGACTTTGAAAAATACTGTTCCGGCTAACTGGTTTTTGTTTTTTAACTATGGTCTTATATATAATTGTAATATATATTTTAAATTAACTAGCATTTGTATTATGTGATTGTAGGGCACGTTGTCAGAGTCCTTCATATTTTATGGACCTGCGTGTCCTTTAGAACATGTATCACTGTTCTAATAAATTTTAATCTAATCTAATCTAATCTATATACATAAATATATATACATTACTGGAAGAGAAAAGATTGAAGAGCAAATTATATGCATCAGGAAAGCAAGATGAAAGAAGCAAATTAGAGTTTTTGGAGCACTTAGGAACAGTCACAGAAAAAGGATCAGTAACACGAGAATAAATTTTAGTAGAGGGCACAAGAGACGCTATTTCTTTAGAGCAGTGACCGTTATAGTATTTGTAGAAAAAGAAATAACATTATTAGAGAAAGAGAAGCAAATTAGACAAAGAGAAGCAACATTACGACAATATGATAATGGGTGAAGGTTGGCTGCAAGAGCAAGTCCAACTATGTTTACAATGCGTTTTTGTACCTTGTCTAAAAGAGAAAGGGCATCATTAATTGATCTGCCCAAGATATGTGGCATGTAAAATTATAAAAACAACAAAACCATATAAAGTTTAACGTTTCATAGATAACTAGATTGAATGTTACTAACCAATCAGAAAAACAGGTTTTAAATAAAATATAGCAACAACGAAGAAAACAGTAAACGAAACAAAAAATTATGGGCAAAACTAATAATTATATGTTTAAAAAATGACAACCTAAAGAACTAACATATATATATATATATATATATATATATATATATATATATATATACATATATATATATATATATATATATATATATATATATATATATATATATATATATATATATATATATATATATATATATATATATATATATATACATATGCCTACATACATATATACATACATATACATAGATACACACACATACCAATGGTTGTCGAAGAAATTATTGAATGTTGCAGCACAATAGAGTCAAGTATTACTAGAAACCAGCATAAAAATTTCTTTCCCAAACCATATCTCGCCAACCCAGCCATATTTAATTTACTTATAATGGATTTAGCATCTGTACATAAAATTTATATTATCCTCTGGTTCTAAAAGCTAGCTCAGACATTCCAGAAACAAACATTATCTTCCGTGGAAACAACAATTATGTATGTAACTGTAGTTCTGTTGCTTAGGTACACACAAAAAAATAAATAAATAGGAAAGCAAACACAATAGTAGTATCATATATAAAAAATATAAAAGATGAGACCAAGCAAAGACATATATTTACAACAGTTCAAAAAAAAGTTTTGTCACAAGATATTTGAAACTATTTATGCATAAGGGTGTTTTCATGTTGTGCATATAACATAAATATTTTTTTTATCTTTGTGATTCAGATATTTATTTCTTATTAAGAACTTACTTTTTTTCTAGCAATATAAGGTTATATGGCAGATTTAATACAGCAGGTTTTTTCTTTACAAAAAAAAGTTACATTTAAAAACAGCTAATAAAAGGTGATATTAATTCTGTAAGGCTAAAAAGAGCTAAAAAAATAAAAAAATTATTGAGAGCTAAAAAAAATATATAAAAATTTATATTTTATTTTGTTTAAAAAAATATTCATAAAAATTGTTTTTTTTTTAAATCAACATTATCCTATGGATTATGAGGTTTTATAACAATATTACACTCATAATGTATTACACAAACTTAAAAAGTGTTATGCATAAAGTGTAATGGTTGCAAAAATTAAGTAAAAATTAAAATAATAAAATTTGCTTGCCCGAAAAACAATTTGATCAGCTTCTTTAAATTATTTTACATTTCAGCTGATTAGTGCTGACCTTTAAATACTAAGCGGTGGAAGCTGAGTAAATTTATAAATTTATTAAATTTATTTTTTAAATATATTATTTGCAGATACCATTTATAACTTATATAAAAACAATGATAAATAATGTTTAACTAAATACTATATTTTGTAATAATAAAAAACTTTGATAAACATTGAAAACATAATACCTCAATAATCTCATAACAACCATCGTTACCATCCTCCTTGAGTTCTGCTGGTGAACAGCATACCAAACATGGACTGCATGGACTGAACTATAAATATATAAAAGTTTTTATTATTTTTTACATTTGACGGTAAACTATTGACAAATGGTTTGAGTTACATGGGTTTTTGATTGTAACAACAACAACAACAAAAATAATATAAACAAAAATAAAGACAAAATCAAAATATGTAAAACAAGTAGAAATGTGAACTAGCAAGATTTAACTTTTTCCAGTAATAAAAAAAAGTGCAGTTGATTCAGAATGTTATTATACTATACTATATCTCATAACATATATTGTATTTTCTGAAAAAGTTAAATCTTGCTAGAAAAAAATTAAAGTAGAATGGAAAAATTTATCAAATAAATAAACATGTTTATACTCATTTATACTGATAATAAAGCACAATTTATTTTAAGCGCATACTAAATTGTTATTATGAAAAGCGGCCTAAAACAACAATAAGACATTATTGCAAGGTTGTTAATTAAAAGTTTATGTTAATTTAAACTAACGCATTTCCATAATGATGGATCATTAATACAATAAATAATTTATTTAAAAAAGATCACAATCAAATATAAAAAAATAACAGTTAATAAAAACTATAATAACAAAGAATATAAATAATAAACGTAACCTGGTGTTTCTTTAAGGAGATTAAACTTGGCTCTTTTTGAGACAATTTCAGCAAAACTTGGGCATCTCAAAACTCTTTTTGTTTTTCTGAAAAATCAGGAAAATCAAACAATAATTTATTATTAAAGCTATTTTAAAAAACACATCATCTATATGGTAGCAATTAATTTAAAAAAAACACTTGTACTAGTAAAGGAAAATATGCGGTTAGTTTAGTATAAACATTTTTAAAACTCTCATGTTATCATATCCTTACAATATGATATATATATATATATATATATATATATATATATATATATATATATATATATATATATATATATATATATTATGTTAATTATTACAATTACATTTATTTGTGCAGATCCTTATGTGACAGTTATTGTTTGTAGGGGAAAGCAGGTAGGATTTGTACACTTTTTACACTAAGTCGTATAAAAGCAAAAATAATTGCTATTTTAAAATAATTTTAATGCTGCTGAGTAGCCTAAATATCTGGCTTTAATATTAAACATAATAAAAATAAAATTATATATCCTATATGCAGAGAATACATATTTTCTCAAAAGCTTTTCTAATTTCTCCTAGAAATCAGTTACGGCTGTCTGTTTAAATGCAAAAAAAAGGCTGAGCGGGTTTTTTCATACGTATTTACAGTACAAATCCTCCCCACTTATTACTTTACGAATGTACCCCAACCATATCAACTAACATATAAATTCAAAATAAAAATAACAGATAAGGTTATTAGAAAATTATTGATTAGATAATAATATAAGACACTTTTACAAAAAGCATAATAAATTGTTTCATTAATTGGATCAAAAATTGTTACAAATAAATATTTTCAAAGATTATTTGTAAAATTACTTTAGCAGTGCAAAAACACATATCAACTTGTTCTAATGAAGATTAGGATAGCACTACCACGGCACTAAGCTGTTAGCCTTTGTGCATGAGTGGTCTTTACACACACATAAATATAAATGTGTCAAAACAAAGAGTGGTCTAGATATGCCTACTGTACGAATGCTCCCGCTGTACTAATCCTACCTGCTCTCCCCTACAGTTAATTACCTCTCACTTTTATTTACCAAAATATATTTGGCAATCATTATTTATAAATTTAAATGATAGTCCTAAAAAAAATTATTGCAAAAAAAAATTAATGAAAATGTTATCGATTTAACTCAAAAAAATTGAAAATAAACTTTAATATTGATGACAGCTAATTTTGGTTTAAGCATCAATAAAATAAATATGTTTGGAATCTTACATCGAATTTAGGATTTATGCCTCCATTCTTGATGCCAATTTTGTTTTCTACAGTAAAAAATAAAATAAATTATTCTTTTTTATGTATATTTTATATGTATATTTGTATGTATTTTTTATTATTACTATTATCAAGTACCTTCCTATGAAAATTTTAGATATAAAACTTTATATTATCACTTTAACCACTTTAAACCACTTTAAAGTAGCGTAATAATAGGACATAAACTGTTAAAAGGTTAATATGAAACAATTATTTACAAAACACAAAGTTTCCGAAAAATGCTATTTATGTTTAATTAATTAATTTTTTTTATCTTATTTACAACTATTTTCTCTAGTCTTTTTTTTTTTTTTTCCAATAGTGCACAGTGGGTCCTATTTTTTTTAGTTTTTTTAATCCTAGTTTTTTCTATAACGTACAGTTGGTGCGAAGTGACATTTTCTAGCCAAAATCCCCCAAAAAAAAATTTTATTAACTTTTTTTATTAGAAACAGTTTATTACATTAAAAAACACAATCTGCAGAAAAAATAACAAATGTTTGAAAAAAACTTTAAATTTTGTTACATAATTATGCAAATTTTTAAAAACTATTTAAGATATTCAAAGGGCACCAAATTAAATGTAGATACCTATAAAAAGCCATAATTGACTCATACTATACAGTTCTAATATGATGGATGTAGAGAGTTAAATTGAAGAGCATTATTTCTTAAATGCTGATAAGTTTCTTTAGATAAATTAGCATCTATAGAAATATCTAAAAAAACTTATCAGAATTTAAGAAATATTAGTCTTATAAGACTAACGCTACACTGTTTAAACTAAGTGACCCTGTTAATAATTCTTTGTTGCATACTTTTTTAACAACTTTTGCTTCTATATATTTTATATCTTTTTTATAATTTTTTTTTTTTCACTTGATATGAAGGTCAGTGGCGGATTGAGGTTTAGTGTCGTGGGGGGGCCAAGTCAATAAATAGGGGCGACCGGGGTTGCCTTCAGTAATTTGATCTAATATATATATATATATATATATATATATATATATATATATATATATATATATATATATATATATATATATATATATATATAACATTATTTATATATATAACATTATATTTATATATATAACATTATATATATATATATATATTTATATATATATATATATATATATATATATATTGATTGTTTTAGGGGGCGCCGTTAGACCGTTCTAGGGGGGCGTGGGGGCAGCTTGCCCCCCACGCCCTATACTAAATCCGCCACTGATGAAGGTATTGTGGTTTATACTCCACCAGCTGATTGCCTTATGGAGGCCACAATACCAGGGCCCACATAGACAAGTTCAGCTCCTTAAAAAGCATCATTTTACATCTTTTCATTTTTAAAATTTGCTAAGATTGCTTGTGGGTTTGTTTTTTTTTTTTTTAACATTATAACTTTTCTCTTTAATAAATACATCTTTTCATTTTTGAAGTTTGCTAAGATTGCTTGTGGGTTTGTATTTTTTTTTAGTTTTTAATCTTTTTTTAAAATTGAAAAAAAAAAAAAAAAGTTCTAAATTGAAAAAAAAAACTTATAACATAATTTTGTTTAATATTAATATAAAGATATACCACAAATGTGATAGAATGAGAGTGGTAATGCAAATGAAATATTTGTACATTATGTTATTTTATATAAAAAATTTTATCCTTTAAAAGAAATATTCTGCTCGTTTAATCAGGAAATACTCCGTTTCTTTAACAAAGCTAAAAAGCTCTTTTTATTACAAATATTTTGACAATCGCATTGCTAAATATCGTAACTCTTTGTAAAGACTAAAATGTAGAAAACAAAATATAGCAAAAACATTTGCCAAAAACTATAATCTTTTTTGTTCTAAAAAGAGGAAAACAATTTATTTAATTTAAATTTAATAGTTCAGTAAATTAAAGATTGACAGGTCTACACAAGATTTATATAGAAATATACCTGTCAATCTTTAGTTTACTGAACTATTAAATTTAAATTTAATTTTCGTACTAAAAATTTGTGCTAAAAAAAGTTTATTTTCTTTTTTTTAGTACGAAAAAGATTATACTTTTTAGCAAATGTTTTTGCCATATTTTATCAAACTTTTACGCGCTGCTTATAAAAGTTCATTTGAATTGTATTAAACCAAAAAAATCTGAAACTATGTGATCTCTTGTTCGCACAGACGCATCTTCAAACAAAACTAAAAAGCGTCCACCATTAATTATAACATTAATTTAACAATAATTTAATTACATTAATAACAATAGAAACGAATTGTATAAATTTTAATAAATTTTAGTCATAGTTAGAGTAAACATACCACAGGTTTTTGTTTCAAGTTTTTGTTTTTTCCAGTCGAATATTATTTCGTCTAACCAAATTTTGTTTCTTTTTTTAAATACTGCCACTCGTTCTATTTGATTTTGTCCATTTTTTTTTTTTTTTGGCTTGATAAATGAATTTCAAAATAATTGACAAACTATTATTAGATTCTTCAAAATTGCTTTCGGAAACAAAACTTAAAATTTTTGTATGTATATCATGGTTCTAGGAAAAAATCCCCCGGGAAAAAATCCCTCCAGATAAAAATCCCTCCGAAATAATCCCCCGTAAAAAAATCCCCCCGAGAAAAAATCCCTACAAAAAAAAAGCATTTCTTTTTTACTTAAAAATTGTCAATATGCAGTTATGTTTACTTCTTTCTTTATTTTAAATATTTACATAAAATACTTCATTTTTCATCAAAATGTCAAGTTATGCGCTATTCATCGAAGGTAGCGAATGTGAAACCCGAACCCTAACCCTGACTAACTACGAACTGGTAAAACGTGAACTCTTTTGCGAAACATCATAGTTAATTTAGCGGTATATTTTAAGGAATTTTAAGCGAAAAAATAATAAAAATAAAAAATAAAAGGAAATTAAGCGAAACTAGACAAATACAAACTGAAAAAATATTTTATTTTTTTTATTATTTGATAGACTGCCTGCCCAAATCAAACTCTCAGTCGATGTAGCAGCACTCCGCTGCTAGTCAGGCTCCTTATTAACAAATTCTATGTTTATCTGTAATATATATCATAAAGATATATAACTATGTTTATGTGTGTGTGTGTGTGTGTGTGTGTGTGTGTGTGTGTGTGTGTGTGTGTGTGTGTGTGTGTGTGTGTGTGTGTGCTATTTGTCACATTTGCTCTTATCACATCTAGTTCTTAGCATATCTAAATGGGCTATTTGTCAGTCGATGTAGCAACACTCCGCGCATGTTTTACAGTTGAAAAATATAAATTTTATTTTAAATAAAGCTTTAAAACAGATAATTAAGAATTGGAAAGTTTTTTTTTTATTATTATTTTTATCATAAAAATAATAGTCTTTAAAATATAATGTTTTGTTTCGCAAAAAAGTTTGCATTTTACTGACAACCGCAGCTCGCGGTGCGCAGTTCGCATTTTACCGACAACCGAGGAATAGCACATAACTTGACATCAAGATGAAAAATGAAACATTTTATAAAACTATTTAAAACAAATAAATATAACTATTTTATTGATAATTTTTTATATTAAAAAAATTTTTTTTTTAATTTTCTCCTGCTACCGTATATCATCATTTTGCAGCAAATTTTTTCCATTATATAATTCTTAAGATATTTTCTATCCATTTTCAAATGCCCGTCTATTAATTTAATAATTTTTAGTTATTTTATTATAAAGTAAATAAAAATATTCTGTAATAGTCTAGTTAAA